TCCAAGCATTTTGGGAGGCTGAGGCCGGAGAATCACTTAAGCCCAGGAGTTTGAGACCAGCATAGGCAACCTGCGGAAAAACTTGTTTCTATAAAAATACAAACAGAAATTAGCCAGGTGTGGCACACGCCTGTAGTCCCAGCTACTTGGGATCACATGAGCCTGGGAGTTTGAGGCTGCAGTGAGCCATGATTGCTCCTGTCTGGACGACAGAGTAAGACTGTCTCAGAAAAATTAATTTTACTTAATTACTTCTATTATTGTTGTTGTAAACCAAATTGTAAAACCATTTTATTACTATATTTGTGGCAAACCAAAAAATATCTGAGACAGGTTTTAATCTATTTAGAAATTTATTTTGCCAAGGTTAAGGACGTGCTCCCAGGCCCAAGGTCTATGCCTTACTCCAAAGATGATTTTTCGGGCTTCGATATTTGGGGGAAGAAATTTTAAGGGCTGGGTGCGGTGGCTCACTCCTGTAATTCCAGCACTTTGGGAGGCTGAGGCGGGCGGATCACGAGGTCAAGAGATCGAGAGATCGAGACCATCCTGGCCAACACCCTGGCCAACACGGCCAACACGGTGAAACCTGTCTACTAAAAATACACACACACAAAAAAAAAAAAAAAAAAAGAAAAAAAATTTTAAGAAGGTGTGGGTAGATAAGAGACAAATGGTTGCATTCTTTTGAGTCTTTGATTAGCTGTTCACATGCAGTGGGTGGAAGAGGAATAGTCCATTATGCATTCATCTAGCTCATTGAATCTCCATTTTTACATGAGATAAAATACAGGGCAGAGGAAGCAATCAGATATGCATTTGTCTCAGGTGAGCAGAGGAATGACTCACTTCTGTCCTTTGTCCCATACCTATGAAGATAAGCTGTAAATTTACGTTGTCAGGGTGAAATTCAGCAGAATGGTGGTAAGGTATGGTTCTTGAGGTAAACAAGGAATTTCCTATTGGACAGATTGTGAGGGAGGTAGGTTTGCGTGATGCCATTCCTAACTTAACTTTTCTCTTTGACTTGGTGAGTTTGGGGTTCCCAAGTTTATTTTCCTTTTACATTGTTGTTTATCTTTCACTGTGCCTAATTTACAAGTTAAAATTTACCGTAGATGTATATGTATAGGTAAAAACAATGTATTTAGATTTTGGTACTATCTACAGTTTCAGGCACCCACTGGGGAATTCCAGAACATATCCCTCCAAGATAAGGGAGGACCACTGTATGATTCATAGCACAGTTTCGGATTAATCATGTCTGGTGCAGTCAAATGCTTGATGGTTATATGGGGCCTGGTTTGTGGGCAGATGACTAGTGGGAGGTGTGTTATTTTGCCCATTTAGGATTCAAGTTGGGTTTTAAGTTACAATTAAGCACTTTGTGTCTTATACAGTATGTATAAAATAATGCTTTGAAATGGCTGATCATGAATGTATTAAAATGGTTTGACTTGTACTGAAACCTGAAATCTAAATGAAAAGGCTGTTAAACATAAGAAGGCAATCAGTACTGATTGTCATTGTCATCTACCCCAATACATTCTAAATGGGGTAGATATAGTAATTCTTATATATTGCTATTAACATAATTTCTGATTTTTGGTTAGAAAAATGTTTAGGTTAATGGCTTTCTTGGTTTCAAGTTTATCATAAAAGCTGTACCTTATGTCTTGAATCTGCTTGCCAATCTTTGCTTTGAGAGATGGTTTTTGCTTAGGCTACGATACATTGTTTCACCTTTTCTAAGGAGGGATGAGGAAATGTTTACTTTGTGAAATTGGAAAACCATGTGGTGTGGAAGGTAAGTGTGTTGTTCATAAATAGCTAGTCTTGTGCTTCATACTATTGGATGGAAGGTAGAAATAAGCTTGCCTCTATTGCTAAGACTTACAAAATAAAAGCTAGGCTTTTATTTGTTGATGTCTGGATGGGGCAACTGGAATCCTTCATTTGGTTCATGCTTATGTGAGTTGTCTGAATGAGAGAGTGGGAGGAAGCTCAATGTTTTGGTTTTGGTGTGGGATTAATTTTCTCTTCCGTTAATTTGGCATACGTGACTTTTTCATTCTGGTTTGAAGTATTAGAAATCTGAAGATTTGTGTGAATTAGAAGATTGGGATTTATTTGAATTTCATTTGGTACTAAGGAAAATTAACTTTAAGAGCTACTTTTTGGGTTGACGTTAGGTTCAAAGCAGTTTTTTCCTTAAGAATTTCATTTTGTTAGGGAAATTTTCTTTTCTTTTTTTTTTTTGAGACAGTTTTGCTGTGTCCTCCAGTCTGGAGTGCAGTGGCACCATCTCAGCTCACTGCAGCCTCCTCTTCCGTGGTTCAAGTGATTCTCCTGCCTCAGCCTCCCGAGTAGCTGGGATTTCTGGTGTGTGCCACCATGCTTGGCTAATTTTTGTAGTTTTTAGTAGAGACACTGTTTTGCCATGTTGGCCAGGGTGGTCTCGAACTCCTGACCTCAGGTGATCTGCCTGCTTTGGCCTCCCGAGTAGCTGGGATTATAGGCGTGAGCCACTGTGCCTGCTAACCTCAAAAACAGGGTCAGTTTATTTAATCAGGTAAAAACTGAGCCTTAGGAGTCAGACTTTGCTAAAAGAAAACAGTATTTTTTTCCCACTGTCCTGAATATAACATTAAGGAAATAGGATTTGGTCACATCTAGATAACATTTAATAATTTCAACTGTGTTAAAGACAAGTAATTTTTGATGTGATCATGAATTTGCCATGAAAAATATAAAAGGGAAAGGGATTCCATCCCCCTCCCTCTAAACAGAATGGAACATAAGCACAGGTTTAGGCTAATTCATAACCTGGATTTTTAAAGCTTTTACATAGTTGGGTTTCATATTTCTAAAGATGTCTTACCAAACCAGGTATCCAAATGAGTGTTTTTCTGTTTTTTGTTTTTTTTTTTTTTAAAAAAAGGACATGTCCCCTTCCTCTTTGCCCTCCCTTAATCACGGGGCTCCACTAGAATAGAGATGGGTGGGTAAAGAAGGAAACTTAGTGTTAGCAGCTCCAGTGAACTGGTACGTGGTAGAGGAGGGTTGAAACCGTTGATCACAGTGATGTTTCAAGAGGATTTAAGCTTTCTCATTGTTCCGTCCTTCATTTGAACCCTCAGAATTTAGAGCTGGAAGTCTAAGGGCAAGCGTCCCTGCAAAGGGCAGACCTTCCAGGCTGTGCTCCCTTGAAGGCGCCACTGCGCTTGAGGAGCAGACGCCTTGGCTGCTGTAGTCAGGTACTCTGGGAGCAGACAATGACTGCTTGGGTGTGTAGCACCTGTGTCCCTTTTGCTCCCCTGGCCTTGTCTTCTGATAGTCTTTTGCTAATTTCCTTTTTTTTTTTTTTTAAATTAACCACCATCAGGATCCAGATGTTGCTGATTTCTTTAGCTATTTATGTCGGCTTTGACCAAAGTCCATTGCAAAGCTTACAAGGGAAAGGAGGCAACAATATCCCTTTGAAGACTTACTTTTGGCACAGATTTTGTGATGTTTGAATAGTTATCATTCCTCAGTAGCCACAAATTAAACAACATCGATCCAATTTTGGTATTATCAGTTTATTAGTTCTATAATTAAAATAGTAAGACCATCTGCATAGATTGAAGCTATAGTTTCAGGTTGTATTATGTGTGAAAAACTGACTCTTCATTGTGCAGTTTGAATAGACTTCCCAGTAGATTATTTATGTAAGCTGTGACATCAGAAACATTCCAGAATGAATCATGTTTAATTAGGATCTAACAAATATTACCACCTTTGTTCTGTTGAACAATATTTTTAAACCACTAAATCAACTTGATTGATAAAAGGAAATTACAGTAACTTATAACCCTTTCATCACAAGTGTTTTCACTTGCTTCCTTCTCATTACACACACAGATATTTGAAAACTCTGCACATCAGGAATTGCTAGGCTGAGAGAAGAAGGATGTTAGCAATTTATTTTATTTTATTTTATTTTATTTGAGGCGGCGTTTTGCTTTTGTTGCCCAGGCTGGAGTACAATGGCGTAATCTTGGCTCACCGCAACCTCTGCCTCCTTGGTTCAAGCGATTCTCCTGCCTCAGCCTCCCGAGTAGCTGGGACTACATGTGCATGCTACCACACACAGCTAATTTTTAGTAGAGATGGGGTTTCACCATGTTAGCCAGGATAGTCGCCATCGCCTGACCTCCTGATCCACTCACCTCAGCCTCCCAAAGTGCTGGGATTACAGGCGTGCGCCACGGTGCCTGGCCTCAGTGGCAGCAGTTTAATTCTGTGTTTGTGCTAGAATAATCTTTTACAGTCTCTTTGCTATAAGATCATTTCCTGGCTAGTTCTGTTTTCCCCACTATAATGAAACATAGTATCTTGATATAAGGTTATTTCTGGCAAGGGATTCTTGAAAGCTATGAAGAAAACATACCTGCTGTCTTTACCAATAATGTGGAAAGCTTGATGGGAAATTCTAGCCCCTTTGATGTCAAATCTACTTAATCTCATTCCTTTACCATTAATAAATTTAAGTAGAATTTCAGATTTCATAAAATGTTACAATATATGTAATTAGTTTTTTTCCTTCGATTGTATTCCACAAAGTAAAGCTTTCCGAGAAATAAAGCTCTTCTCAGAAACCTGTTTGGATTTAGTGATTATTTTTCTCCAGATTATTATTTTTTTTGTTAAGAGTGAGTAAACTTCGAATGATTTAGAGTGTGTTAAGACATAGGTCAGATCGGCCGGGCGCTGTGGCTCACGCCTGTAATCCCAGCTCTTAGGGAGGCAGAGGCGGGAGGATAGCTTAAGCCCAGGAGTTCGAGACCTCCCTGGGCAATATAGCGAGACCCTGTTCTCCACAAAAAGGAAAAAAACAAAAAGACAAAAAAAAAAAAAAAAAAAAAAAAGACATAGGTCAGATCGCTGGGCGCGGTGGCTCACGCCTGTAATCCCAGCACTTTGGGAGGCTGAGGCGGGCGGATCACTTGAGGTCAGAAGTTCGAGACCAGCCTGACCAATATGGTGAAACCCCGCCTTTAAAAAAATAAAAATAAAAAAAAGACATAGGTCAGATCAATTGAGCAGGACCAAAGAGTTGGGCTGCCCTGGTCACGTAACTGTGATTATTTCCATTGTTTCTTCATACACAGCTATGTGACACAGCTTGCCCTTTATATCTGTAAAGGAGTTAAATCTGTGGTTAATTTGTGCGGCATCCTCTCGCGGGCTTTTCTAGCCCTTTGGAAGATCCCACTTGGAGGCATTAGACATAATGGAAACTCAGGGTATTTCTTTGCTTCTGAGTTGTTGGAAATGATTAGATTGAAACTCAATGTGTTGTTTTCTTTTCCCACCCCCACTCTTCAGAGAGATATCTGTGCCTTCTTTGCCGCATTTACTGCGAGAATGAAGACCATTCTCAGCAATTAGACTGTCGACATTCCGGAAAATGTCGACATTACTCTGAAGGGACGCACAGTTATCATGAAGGGCCCCAGAGGAACCCTGCGGAGGGACTTCAATCACATCAATGTAGAACTCATTCTTCTTGGAAAGAAAAAAAAGAGGCTCCGGGTTGACAAATGGTGGGGTAACTGAAAGGAACTTGCTACCGTTCGGACTATTTGTAGTCATGTACAGAATGTGATCAAGGGTGTTACCCTGGGCTTCCGTTACAAGATGAGGCCTGTGTGTGCTCACTTCCCCATCAACGTTGTTATCCAGGAGAATGGGTCTCTTGTTGAAATCCGAAATTTCCTGGGTGAAAAATACATTCGCACGGTTCGAATGAGACCAGGTGTTGCTTGCTCAGTATCTCAAGCCCAGAAAGATGAATTAATCCTTGAAGGAAATGACATTGAGCCTGTTTCAAATTCAGTGGCTTTGATTCAGCAAGCTACAACAGTTAAAAACAAGGATATCTGGAAATTTTTGGATGGTATCTATGTCTCTGAGAAGGGAACTGTTCAGCAGGCTGATGAGTAAGACCTTAGAGTTGTCCAGCTACAGAAACAAGATGCCTATCGTAGCTAAGACCTACTTGTGATACTTATGTGATGCAATAAAAGACCTATTGATTTGGAAAAAAAAAAAAAAAAAAAAAGGAAAGATATCTGTATGTACAGGATGGGAATACCATTGCCGGCATGCAGTTTATTCTTTTCTCCAAAGGTGTTTATATTAAATAGTTCTGCTATAACATGGCGTAAGCATTCCTAACAATTACCACACTACGCCAATTGCTCAACAAAAGCCATAGAGATTATGAAAAAATTGGAGTTAGGTATAAAACATTCAAAACTGCATTAGTTACTCATCACCAAAAAAAAAAAAAAAAAAAAAAGAACCTAATGAAAACAGTAGCACAGGTGTTCACATGTTAAATAGTTAAGGAATACCATAAATATGGCACTTTACTTTGAAAAAGTAAACCTGTGGTTTGCTCATAGAAGTAGGCATCAGAAGGGTTGCAGCTTCAGTTACTGTAAAGTGGTGGAAGGAGGGTTATCTGAAATGGCACTGAGAGTTGTAACATCAGATGTGTGTGACACCCACTTGGTGAACTAAGTGGCTGGTAGATGCTTGAGGTGTGTGTGTGTGTGTCTGTCTGACCAGCTGGGTGTAGGTTTCTGGGTTTTCCTCATGGGTGAAATTGTATATGCAAAGGCAGAGTTCAGGTTATGCTCATATTATTCCCGGGTATATCAATTGTGTTACAGCAAACTTCCCTTCCCTTCCCTTTCCTCTTCCCTCTCTTTCTTCTCCTTCTTCTCTTTCTTCTTTTTGAGACAGGGCCTTGCTGTGTCACCGAGGCTGGAGTGCAGTGGCATGAACACAGCTCATTGCATCCTTGACCTCCTGGGCCCACCCAAGCGATCGTTCCACCTCCGCCTCCCAAGTAGCTAGGACCAGTAACTAACTTAAATTTTTTTTGTAGGGACGAGGTCTCCCTGTGTTGCTTAGGCTGGTCTGGGCTCAAGTGATCTTCCCACTTTGCCCTGCCAAAGTGCTGGGGTTACATGTGTGAGCCACCATGCCCAGACTTTGATTTCTTTTTGATTTAGGAAGAGGGAATTACAGTTTTCCCAAGAACGCTGTAGATGCCCAAAGAGATGGTAGCCGTGAAGCCTAGGTAAACCCATTCTTTTCCCATCTAGGCACATTGCCTCTCTATACAGAAGGCACTTGGAAGTATGAGGAACATACTTTTTTAAACTTCTTTCTGGAAACGAATGTGAGAATTCGAGTATTAATAAAAAGTACATGTACCTGAGCTGTCTGATGCTTTTTAAGGAAGAGTGGCTTAGACTTCTGCTAGCTTACTCAGTTGGTCAGGTCATCTCAGTTATTTTTTGTAAATCTAATGAGGTGGCTAATTATGGAAAGTGAGGTTTCCATCCTGTCACTTTGAGTTATTTTCCAGGTGCAGAGATTAATTTTGTTTTGCTTTTGTTCCCTTTAACTGTTTGTGGATAGACATTTGTGTGGTTGATTTCCGGGATTGGGGAACCTCACCTGAGGCTACTCCGTATGCAAAGATACCTGCCCTGGAGCCAAACTGGCACCTTAACCTCATTTGCACTGCTCTCTAAACCTCTAGGGCCTAGCTAATCACCTGAACATAAGTACACACTGCTGCCAGCAGGCTTTTTGAAAATGTCTTAAAAAGTGGTGGGGAAAGTAAGCTTGTTTCTTGGTGGCAAGTAACCATGAATAGTAAAGATGTTTATACTCAGAATTTCTAGACTCCTAGAAATCAGATATAGAGAGCTTCCTTAGTCATCTAGCTGGGGGCCTTTGGAATCACTCAGCAAGGTAGAGACTAGACACTGTTGTGTTGTTAAGGACAAAGGGAATTCATCTGCATCTTGGAGAGAGGGAAACTGCAATGAGCTGTGGAGCCTAATAATTCTTAGCTCTTGTCCCCACTGTGCAACTTACTGGTTTGGTGACTTTGGGCCAGTTACCGGACCATTCTGTTCCATCTTAGTTTCTTCATGGAAATTGATATTAGTTTCTACCTGATAGTGAAGAACTTAGCAAAGTCCCTGCAGTGGCAAGCATATCCAATCAATGTTACTGCTGTTGTGATTGCTACTCTGCCAGTTGGGAGATGATAATCTTAGATGTGTTTTCAAGATGAATTCACAAACACAGTCATAAACATGTTGCATAAGGACAGGGATATATCCTGAAAAATTCGTTGTTAAGCAGTTTTGTCGTTGTGGGAACATCATGGAGTGTAATTACACCAACCTAGATGGTATAGCCCATTACACTCCTAGGCTGTATGGTATAGCCTGTTATTCCTAGGCTACAAATCTGTACAGCATGTTACTGTACTGAATACTGTACGTAAGTAAATATTTGTATAGCTAAATATATCTAAACAAAAGGTATAGTAAAAATACAGTATTTTTTTTTTTTTTTGGGAAGGAATTTCGCTCTTATTACCCAGGCTGGAGTGCAATGGCGCGATCTCGGCTCACCGCAACCTCCGCCTCCTGGGTTCAGGCAATTCTCCTGCCTCAGCCTCCTGAGTAGCTGGGACTACAGGCACGCGCCACCATGCCCAGCTAATTTTTTGTAGCTTTAGTAGACACGGGGTTTCACCATGTTGACCAGGATGGTCTTGATCTCTTGACCTCGTGATCCACCCGCCTCGGCCTCCCAAAGTGCTGGGATTACAGGCTTGAGCCACCGTGCCTGGCCCTAAAATACAGTATTATAATCTTAGAGGACCACCGTTGTATATGCAGCTAGTCATTGACTAAAACATCATTATGCAGCAAGTGACTCTGTAAGATACAACAAGATTTGAAGAATTGCAACATTTTGGATAAATTTTTTTGGTATGTGTCTAATTTTTCAAAAACATAATTGAGCTTACATTATATGTACACTTTTATATACTAACTAAAAATCTTAAATGTGGTCTGGAGGCAAAGTGACAGGTTTTCAGTGGAAAGGATATTCAAAATTACTGGGCCTATGTCTATGTTTTACAGATGGGAAAACAGAATCATGGAGAGGTTTAAAGGATTTACTCAGTCTCCTAGGCAATGCCGGCACTAGAATTGAGTCCTTGTCTAGTTGTTATTCCAAGGATTTTCACCAGTTCATATCAGGAATTCTCACAAAGTTGGCAATGGATGATGATACGGTGATACCAAGATATTTTCTATTGTTTATATTTTGTTTTGTTTTTTTGTGACAGGGTCTTGCTCTGTCACCCAGGATGGAATGCAGTGATGTGATCATAGCTCACTGCAGCCTCGACTTCCTTGGCTCAAGCAATCCTCCCGCCTCAGCCTCCTGAGTAGTTGGGACTACAGGCACGTACCACCATGCCTGACTACTTTTTTATGTTTTTTATTTTTGTAGTGACAGCTCTTGCTTTGTTGCCTAGGCTGGGATATTTTCTTTTGGATGGGAGTGAAAGGCTTGTGTATAAATAGAAACAAAACAGCACTCTCAACCATGCGCAGTGGCTCATGCCTGCAGTCCCAGCACTTTGAGAGGCTGAGGCGGGCAGATCACAAGGTCAAGAGATCAAGACCATCCTGGCTCACATGGTGAAACCCAGTCTCTACTAAAAATACAAAAATTAGCTGGGCTTAGTGGCTTGCGCCACTAGTCCAAGCTACTCGGGGGTCTGAGGCAGGAGAATCACTTGAACCTGGAGGCAGAGGTTGCAGTGAGCTGAGATTGCTTCACTGCACTCCAGCCTGGCGACAGAGTATAAGACTCTGTCTCAAAAAAAAAAAAAACAAAACAAAAACAAACAGCACACTCGACATATCTATTGTTTTTATAAGGCACACTGCAGTGAATACATTTAAACAAAGAAAAAAACCAGTAGGTGAGAATACTCTGAAGATAGTGAGAAAGCATAATTGTAGGGAACATAGTTTTTAAATGGTTTAATTGCTATGTGATGCCTCTTTACAAACCTGGAGTAAGTGGGATGCCAAGGTGTGTTGTTGGGAGAATCAGGTTATATGTACCTTTGGCCAGCAGCAAGGATAAATCAGGTACAAAGGGCATTCATTGTAACTTCATAATCACAGTGTGGTAAAATCAGTCATTTGGGGATTTAAAAATTTTTTTAGAATTATTATTTTTTTTCTCCCCATTCTCCATCTCCACTTGGGGATTATTATAGGTAGTCACTGCCTAGGGTTTTGTTTTTTTCCCCAGTATCTTTATTTTGGATTATAAAAATAATACATTTAGTATATAACATTTGGGAAATACAGCAAAGCATAAGGAAAATAAAGACAGTCGAAAATCTCATAACCCAAAGATAGTACACTGTGAACATTTTGATACTTTTTCTTCTGGCTCTTTTGGGAGGAGTGTGTGTAATTTTTCAAAAACATAATTGAGCTTATATGTACAGATTTATGTTAAAGTGTAGTCTAGAGGCAAAGCAACTGTCAGGTTTTCAGTCTTGTAAGAAAATGTGGACTCTACCATATAACGCAGAAGAACATGCTTTGGTGTGTGGGTTTTTTTGTTTGTAAGACTCACTCTGGCTGGAGTGCAATGTGGCAGTCGTGGCTCACTGTAGCCTTGACCTCCTAGGCTCAAGCGATCCTCCCACCTTGGCCTTCTGAGTAGCTGGGACTACAAGTATGTAGTACCACCGAGCCTGGCTAATTTTTTTTTTTTTTTTTTTTGAGATGGAGTTTCGCTCTTGTTACCCAGGCTGGAGTGCAATGGTGCAACCTTGGCTCACCACAACCTCTGCCTCCTGGGTTCAGGCAATTCTCCTGCCTCAGCCTCCTGAGTAGCTGGGATTACAGGCACGCGCCACCATGCCCAACTGATTTTTTGTATTTTAGTAGAGACGGAGTTTCTCCATGTTGACCAGGATGGTCTCGATCTCTTGACCTTGTGATCCACCCGCCTCGGCCTCCCAAAGTGCTGGGATTACAGGCATGAGCCACCGTGCCCGGCCGAGCCTGGCTAATTTAAAAATTTTTTTGTGGCTGGACGTGGTGGCTTATGCCTGTAATCGCAGGACTTTGGGAGGCCAATGTGGGTGGATCACGAGGTTAAGAGATCAAGACCGTCCTGGCCCACATGGTGAAACCTCGTCTCAACTAAGAATACAAAAATTAGCTGGGGGTGGTGGCACTCGCTGGGAGTCCTAGCTACTTGGGAGAATGAAGCAGGAAAATCACTTGCACCTGGAGGTAGAGGTTGCAGTGAGCTGAGATTGCGCCACCGCACTCCAGCCTGGCAACAGAGTGAGACTCGGTATAAAAAAAACATTTTTTTTTTTTTTTTTTTTTTTAAATAGAGACAGGGCCTCAGTGTGTTGCCCAGGCTGGCCTC